GCTTGTTGCTCCACGGAGCTTCCCTCACAGCTCACGGCACCCAGGGAACCATCTCTCAAGGTGTAGCAGCTCTCACAGTCAATCCAGAGACTTACTCCACCTTTCCACAGCTCTGTGGAAGTGCCCTAATTCTACCAGCACCTCTGCCCCACACCAGTGCCCTAATTCTACCAGCAACCTCCTAAACACAGTCCCACCCTCAATACATGTACAGGAAAGGAGTATGCACACTTACTCAGGCAGGCATCTGGACCACTGGCTTACAGTTCCCATTGCCTGCCGTGGCAGAGAGTGGGCCAAGGGGATGTTCCTGCATGTTGTCTCGCGGGGGTCCTCTGGAGGTTGCAGGCACGCAGCCTTGTGCAGCACCATTGTCGTGCTTTTCCCTAGACTGCTGATCCTGGGACCGCTGATCCTGGGACCAAGGGCGTGAAAGTCCTTGAATGTCTGTGGATGTCCTTGAATGTCTGTGGATGAGCAGTGGGCTTGGCGGAGTGCTCTCCCCTCCCCTGAAGATCTGTTCAAGATCTCTGTGGTAGGGGCGCATGCACCATGGCACCTCTGAAGCATGGTTTTGCCACCTCTTCAAGAAGATGGTCTTCATCTATTTGAAATGAATGCAGCACCACTTGTCAGTGCTCTCCCACTTGGCAGCAGGCTTGACATTAGCAACAGCGTGGTGCAACTGCTGGAGAAGTTTTTGCAGCAGTAGGTAAAGGAGAAAACAATAATTAAGAAGAGTAATAGAAGAGTGAAGAGGCTGATCCAGGGGCAGGGGAAAGCAGCAAGGAGTACTTTAGTCTTGGAAAAATGACACAGTGGAGAAGCTGAAGAGCATAAGACGACTTGCTGCCTTTGGTTTAGAGGAATGCATATGTGACATGGCTCTTTTTACACCATGAGATGCACTTCAGGATGTTTCAGGAGCTCTCAGTATTTGAAGAAACTTTTTGTGTTTAGCTTGCATTGAGGGACTCGACACTGGTGAGACCCAGTCATTGTTCAACCCAGGAAGGTTTGAAATTCCTCCTTTGAGCATTTGGAGTGCAATTTCTGCTTTAGTATCTTCTAAGAAGAATTCTTTTGACATGGACCAAAACTGCTTTTTGTAACTACTGGGGACAGCCAGGTGATTTGCTTCAGAACTGCAGTACTTCTCCAAACCTGAACTGCTAATACAGGTGTAGTATTTGTTTGGTGGCTGGGTAAAAATAAAGCCATGCTCACTGGGGGCTTGCATTTGATAGAAGTGTAATTTAAGCCCAGATCTTCAAAGCTGAAAGCCTGCTTGAGTTTCTTATTATATCACTTGGTCTCAAGTGATTTTATTACTGAAGTGTCAAATATATTAAAGTGATAGAGCAATCTTAAACTTGAAGAAAAGCGGGGAAATAGCATGCTGGTAGGAAAATAGCAACTGTAAAATCTTGAGTGATAAAGTACGCTGTCTTAATGTAAACCATAAATGACAACACACTGTAACAAAGTGGAAGGTTTCATGGCTTTTAACAGTTTAATGAAATGTCACTACTCACTCTTCCCCCTCCTTTTTAGAAAGAGTGATTGCTTGAATGTTTCAGGGTTTCCACATCAATCTTAAAGGCCATGTATACCTGCTGTATGATGTTCCCTAGTCTTCCAAATAGGTGCAGATAGAGACAGTGTTTTATTATATATTATGTAGTCCAAGTGCTCCCTGGCTGTCAGAAGGATGAGGGAAAGGGCACAAGGAAAACCACAGATACCCATATATTGTATTGGCTTATTGTCTTCGGTGACATTAAACTCTCTAGGGTGGGGAGGTTAAGTGCAGGCAAGTGATTCCTGGTTTTGCATGGAAGACTTGTGGTTCCTGTCTGCAGCATGTTACGTATATTCTGCTTTAAGTACAATTTACCCATGATAGTTTTCAATAAAAATGACTTAAGTACATGCAGATCTCTTCACTGTCTCCCTCCTACAGCCAGGTGCCAAAGTTATATAGCTTGTATACAGGCACTGAGAGTCTTCTATTACAAAATTACTGATTATGATCTTTAAATGATGCCTTTTTCCTTTAGCAGGCAAACATTGCCTTTTTCATCATCATTAATAACTGTAAAATAATAATAATGAATAATAATACTCATCCATTGTGTTTAACTACTTACTGCCTACTATCCACACTTACACCGAATATAAAATTACTCATTAAATATTTTTTTCATTGCCTCTGGCCTTTTTGTCAACACTCCGCTTGAGAGTCTCACAAGCAACAACGATAAGGATTAGTTTTCTCAATTCTTTGAGATAAGGTGATATTAGTTCTGTGTTACAATGAGTTTGCAGATTTTAATGTTTTCACAGTAGGAAGTATAGAAAAGGAATTTACCTTTGGAAGTAGAGTTGTTATCCTTACTTACAATTACTTTCACCAATCCTATCTAGAAATGACTGTAAATGCCGGTGGTATGGCAATAAATTCTAGTTGTGTACATCTCCAGGCCTTGTTGATTTTTGTAGGGTTTTGATAACGTATGTCAGTTTCGTAGAGTATTGATAGGTATTAATAGGTCTAGAATTAAAGATATTTTCTTTTGATACTCAGTAACATTTAATATAAGAGGTCTGTTACAAATAAATCATATACATACCTTAGTTTGTGTGAGTTTTCAGCTTGGTATGGTGATGACTTTGCCTTATAAACATATTCTCTCTTGTGGCTGAAAGTAACAGCAGGGATTTATGCAGTGTTTATAAAAATTGGAAGCTATGCTGTTATCTTCTGATGCAAGCATGCATGCTTAGGGCTTCTATGTTTCCATTTTCTTAAATCCTCAGGCAGAAGTGTAGAAATATGCATAGTCTGATTGTGGATGAGCTGTGTATTTAATGCAAACATGGGTCAGATGCATCTGGAGCTTCTGGATGTTACTGTCTCAGGTTGCTGAAAGTCTGAACATGTGTTCCCACTGAAGAGAGCAGCAGTGAGTAATGCTATATTATCCTCTTCAGTACATGTATCAGATAGGCTTCTAGGATTGGATGTATTTGCCCCAAGTTTTCTTGAATATGACCATAAAAGAAAGAGCCTAATGCCTACAAATCTGGAAAAGTAACTGGTGCTAGAATTTGAAATATTGAACTGGAATAAGGTAACTCTTTAAAGAGAAAACTCAAATATGATGAATAATATAAATGAAAGTAAAACATTTCAAAGAAAATCTATCCTTCTGAGTAGCTCATCCTTGAAAAACAGGGTCCTTTCCTCCTGTCCTGCTTGCACAATGTGTATTATTGGCCCAGACTGCTCCCATTGCTTGCATTATTTGCTAGGTCACTGAAAACGTCTCTTACTGCTTCAGAAGCTTGGATATTTTCTGTTCTCCATAGGTAACATCCCCCTGCTGCTCTAAGGAGTTTGTCTCCCTTTTCCTTTCTCTCCTGTCTGATAGTAACTGAAGAAAAGAGTCTTTCATGAGACTAAATTTTACTTGAGACCTTATCTATGTGATATAATGAATAAATAAGGAATAATGCTGTAAAGGTAAGATGCAAACAATCCATATATGAGTCGATTCATGTCACACTGATAGTGAAAGAAATTAAATGTTTAAACTTCTTATGTTTATTGTAGTATTTTCTAGTAAATGGCAACCTCTTAAAGAAGAGTTTTACTGCTGTAGGTAAGAAGAGTTCCCCTGTAAGACAGAGCAACTCCTTTGTTCTGAACTTAGATTTATATGTCTTCAGATATCCCAAGAACTTCCTAGAGAATTTAACCTTTTGGTCTTATCACTAATGCAACACTATTGCAAGCAAAACTGTTCTTATTACGTCTGACTGGCGTGTAACCATGCTTAAGGAGTATTCCAGTTTACGACTTCCTGGGATGGTTCTACTTCCACCCTGTTTCCTATTAGCTTATTAGTCTACTTTGTTTCTACTTTTGTGCACAGTTACATGCGGTTTTACCTCTGCTACTTATACACCTCTACAGACTGACGTCTAATTGAAAAATTTAAAGGCAGTGAGCAGGTTTAGATACCGAGTGTTACACAGCCGTCAGCCTCAGGAATTCGAGAGACCTCTGACAGCTGTGTTCATTCAATTGCTCTTGGGGAATTAGTAATTTCCTTTTCCTTCAGAAGATGCCACATTTCCATGCTGCAACAAGCAGGTCGGGACAAGTGCAGAGTGCTTGTCACGGGCTCCCATGCCCATTCTAACAGAACTAACTATGTGGTAAATTGTCCGTCCTGGTGTACTAATGAAATATTCAATACTAGTTTTGTGACAGAATACTATACACTGTCGAGGTAATAAATTTTTTTCTCATGGTGATACAGATGGCTGACATTGCTGCTGATATGTCATGTTTCTTGAGTTCCAGTGCTTTGCTGTCATGCACAGTCTGTCTTCAGGCTTCTTCACACCAAAAATGAAAATCTGAAAGTGAGAGGAAAAATGATGTCTTAAGTCTAAACGTATTTCTCTGAAATTGTATTTACATTTGGTTCAGGGGATAAGATTTCTTGTCTCGGGTTCTGATAAGTTTACAATGCTGTAGTAAAGAAAATATTACTAGATATTGATTTGTGTCTCAGACTTAGCTGGTTAGGACAGAATTTGCGTTATGAAATGCCCTGTTTACATGCATTATTAAAAGCTAAAATTGAGAAATATAAGCAGTTATCTGGATAAAAGAAAGAATGATTAGAGTGTCATTTAAAATTTTGCAAAACATAGCTATTGATTTTTTTGCTCTAATATGTAAAATAATTATCTTCAGTCCATTCTCATTTAAAAAAAAAAAAAGAGATGTATTACAGTGTTTTTTGCAAAAAGAAAATTGTCCTACATTTATTGAACCTGGATTGCATCGTTCAGCTACTTTCTGTATCATACTGGCTTTTTTCCTTAATGTACTGTGTCTGTTGATTGTGTGAAAGTTGTTTTTTATAGGGCAACAGCAGATCTGGAAAAACTTTTAATATGTTGTGAATGTTTTGTCAGTACAGGTCTCCAAGTTAGCTGATGTCATGGTCAGACATGGTGTGAAGAAAGGAGATCGTGTGGTCATCTACATGCCCATGATTCCACAAACAGTGTACTGTATGCTGGCTTGTGCAAGAATAGGAGCCATCCATAGCCTGATTTTTGGTGGATTTGCATCTAAAGAGCTTTCTGTTCGTATCGACCATGCAAAGGTAATACGTATTTGGAACAACAGACACCATTGCATTAGTAATTCATATAAATCAATGTCAAGCCCCCTTTTTTTCCAGAGAAGATAACATTTCGCTTTGTGTGGCACGCAGACTCAATTTGTTTATAATACCTAACACTGAAATTTGAACAAAGTACTACATCTGTGCTGAGAGTGATGATTTTATAGCAGACATTGAGGTACAAATTCTGACCTCTTTTAAAAAAAGCATGGGTTTAATACACTGCTGTCTGTTTAGAGCATACTTTCTTCTCCCATTTGTCAATCTTTGTCTACAAAGCATCACCTTAAAATTGGCTTTTCACTCAGCGTTTTCCTCAAGTGTATGAGGAAAATGCTGCCAACCTTAAATGACTTCATTGGTTTACTTCATGTTTATACATAATAGGTAGTATGTTTTTCAGCTATATAGCTACTTCATCTAATTTGTACATGAATCAAGGCAGCTAGGGAACCAGTTGTCTTAAGTAAGTGACTCTGCAGAGAACATAATTAATAGAGGTGAATGCTGTAAAGGCTTCCACGTTCAGCACAAGTTGAACTTGTTTATGAAACATTATGTAAGCCTTTGTAAGTGAAAATGCAAATAGTACTTTAATAACCTACTTAGTAGCTTATACGTGCATATTAGTAGCTTGTGTATGCATTAGTTTCAAACCAGCTAACAACGTTTGTACTGGAAGTTTCTGTTCTTGTTTTCTACCAGTGAACAAGACAAAAGTCTTTGTCATCTTGATCAGTCACCCGTATCATTCCGACCGTCTGTGTTAGCCATCTATCACTGAATCATGTTGGTTAGGTGTATAAGCCAAAACATTATGCAGGGTAAAGTCCACAGGATTTCTGGAATTTTTACTTAGATTTTTGTGTACAGAAGTGCTTTTCAGATCCCCAAGGCTTGAATTTTATGAATATTTGTAAATAGAAAGTTGAATGTATTCCTCCTCCTCCCTCTTGATGTTTTAACAAAGTGGAAGTTAATAAAACAGTTGAAATGGTTTGTGGGAAGACTAACGACAGCTCCATAGTTTTCCGTGTCTTTCTTCCTGCTCCCTCACTATTTCAACAAGCTGTAAAAATTAATTTTGACTCATAGAAGCTTTTGATTAGGGAAAAATAATGTAGAAGAAAAAACGATAGACTTTTAAAATGGAAGTTGCTACAATATGAATCATCTAGCATGTTTACTTTTAGAGTATTTTGCAAATATTAACTAATTAATCCCAATGGACTTTCTCTGAGGAGCAAAGGGAGACAGCACAGTAACCATAATCCTTGCTTCGTGCATTAAAAAGAAAACGGAGAAAGTTTAAGTGATTTACCCAAGGTCACATAGCAAGTCTTTTGAAGGGTTAGCTATAGAATTACTAGCTGCAGGCCATGGTTTAAATCCTAATTTACATTGCCTTTTTTTTTTTTCTTTAAACGGCACATCTAAATATTTTGGATGATTTTTGGTCCATCTGATGTGTAATGAAAGTGTAAGTAAAGAGGAGAGGCACATCCTCAATCTAAATTTCAAAACATGCCCCAATTTTGCAATACTGTAATGCTTTCTTGATAAGTGAGTTGCACACTACTGAGATTATCTTTAAGATATGTATATAAGTAGCTGCAATAGATGGTATTCTGCTGAACTCAGAAGTTAATTGAAGCAGTCTCAAAAAACCCTAACCTTTCTGTTAGGCTTTTATGTGAATTGGTTTAGATACTGCAGTACAGGACCTAATGTCGGTAAGATTCATTAGAAGGAGTTAAAGATGTGGAGTGAAAAGCTGGCTGTGAGATGCTCTTGTGAAAGAAAGGTCAAACTTCACATTTTATTAGAAGATCTAAGTGAAAGAAATAACAAGCACTTTCTGGTGACTATGAAAAGGTACATATACTTTACCAGCTTACCTTAATTTATCTTGAATTTTAAATAGGTCTGGGAATGCTGCAAAGTCCTGCAGTTGATAATTTTTACTCTTGTCAGGTATCGGCAGTTACAGACATTCTGTGGTGAATTGTGATGAAGTGATACAGAGCGTGAGAACAGGCATTTCTTGTCATCTTTCTTTTCACCTGAATCTGGGAATATATAGTTTGCAATACGGAAACAACAGATATTTTTGAAGGACATTAACTATATTTTGAGAAATTAACATGACATCTGTTTAAGCACTTTATCGTAGTAAACTAGGAAAACTCAGAAGGATACTGAAGAACAATGTGCTTATATGCCTGTTTGATAGGGTAGTTGCTATGCCTTCAACAACCAAATTTTCTCATGTTTTTTGAATCACAATAATTATACAGCAATTCCAGAGGGCTTTTTAGATTTTATTAAGTCCAAACCCTGCAAAATAAAATGCAAGTTTTTCAGACGTGATTTTTGAAAATGCTTCACTAAATCAGTATTATGATTTGCAAGTGAACGACAGTTCTTTGAAATACAAAATGTATGAGACACCCAAGTTATTAAAAACTATCTGTTACTATCTTCCATTCCAGAAATACTGTATTCCTCACTTATTTACAGTTGACACATTTGGAGATTTTAATAAGGTTTCCTTGAAAAAATGAGCTAATATTTTGTAATGGTGTATTCTGAATAAGACTTAGTTCCTGTGCACAGGTATGGCTATGAATGGTTACCCTACTTCTCATTATAAGATGATCCAACCTTTTGAGTGATTAGGCAGCAAGCTCAGCTGCTGATACAGAAGATGCACAATTGCCTTATAATAGTTGCAGTCCTGTCTTGTCTTGTCTTGATTTATTTCTGGAATATGTATTGTAGATTAGAAGGCAGTAACTTGCTTTTTTTTAACTACTTGTATGGTATGATTCAGGTCTCTTTCTGTAGAGCACTGTATAGTAACTGGCAGAACTAAATGTGCATGGCAATCTGTCACGGATCATCTAACCACAAAGCCAGAGCAGTACCAGCAGGTGCAGCAGAACTATATAATGACTGCATAAGCACTGGATTTCTTTAAAATGCATGTCACTTTTTTTAAGGAGGAGGGGGGCACAACAAAAGTGCAGTGAGTTTGAGCATAGGCTTGTGATCAGATGTGTGGCTGTGGCACAAAGAGAAAAGAGCTTTGTGTGTTGAATAGTGAGGGCCTGAGTGCTGGATCTCTCTGTAAGCCTCTTCATGACACTCCTGACGTTTTGTGTCCCAAAGGTAGTCGGTTTTCAGTTTGGGCTTTTTGCAGCTTTAGTAGTTGGCCCAATAAAATGTATTTGTTGCTTTTTCTAAACTTTGCCTTGTATGCTACTAGAGACTACAGAAGAATTTGAAGGAGGTGTCTTTACAACAGAATAAAATTGTTGGTCTGGTACTATTGGGCCTTGCTTTATCTCATTTCTACCTCTTCATGTGTTTGAGTATTTTTTTTCCTACAGTTCACTATCGCTGGCATTCCTTCACCAGCAAACATTTGAACTTCCCTTGTTTTCCTTCAGACTTGTTATATTTGTATCTAATCTTACTGTGCAGGACTACATGGAGCCACAGAAGAGGTGGGAAATGGGTGTATAGAAGCAATATGGGAGCAGAGGTGCAGGGAAAGTAATGTCCGTAGGCAGAGAGTTAAAACGCTAGAAAACAGCAGTTAAAGCCAGTAATGGAGCTGCGATTTGCACAGAGTGATCCATGATGCTTCCAAGTAGTAACCCTCACTTGGGAAATACATCACCTTAGCCAATTCAGTGTTGGTTATTTTTAGACTTCCTTACTGCATACAAAGTAGTTGATGAGCAGAGGCAGCACTATTTACAAATAACTGTAAACCTGGTATTGACAACAGTCTTTCATCTTAACAATTGAATAGAACTGCGTTAATATCTTACATTAATTACAGTCTACTTTCAGGGTAGCCTCCAGATGAGTTTTCAGTTTAACTGCATTGTATTGTGTCATCTTTTGTTAAAATCAGTGCATCCCAAAAGAGAAAGATGACAAATGCTGAAATTTTAAAGCTCATCTGAAATCTTTATTTTGAATACAAACTAATTAGCAAACTTCCCTGAATGGCAGATTTGGACGGGAAACATTTTATTATTGCACAAGAAAACAATTTAATCTGTGCTTTCTGTGCTGAGTTTAATGCAGCCTTAACTGTGGCATTGTGGTTTGTGCCTACTTAATGAGATTTCTGCTAATGCATACAATTAGTGAACTAGTTTGATCAAACTGAGGGGCATAAGACAAATATACTTCTAAAACTCCAAAAGCAAGGAGATTGAAGATTCATTCTTCTCCAGTTAAAATGTGTTCTAACACCTAGCGTCTTTGGTGCTACCTTTTATTTCCTGAAATACAAGAAATAAAAATACTGATCTTGGGACCCAAGTTAAAATAGTTTGTATGAAGATTTCTTGACTTAGGAAATCTTACCTAAAACCTGAGGTTAATTTAATGACAAAGATGCTAAATCCACATTTGGAAATAAAAATTATTCTAAAAAACCCCAGAACTACGGAAATCTGATTTTCAGTGGTTTTGCATCCTGAATCCTGCAACCATCACTTGAAAGACTCTAGCTTTACTTCCCTCATGTGCCTTATGACTTTAGCTTATTCTCTTCCTGTATTTCTAGTTTCCTGTCATCTCTTGTTTGCTGCCTTATTCCTCTTTCCCCTGTCTTCCCTCCCGTGCCATTTAATTGCAGGCTGGAAAAGAGCCAGCAAAGTGCTATATAGCTAGTTTTGAATTATGCCATTGCATGCAGGCAGATAATTAGAAGGCAGGCTAAACGGGACACATAATTGTTGACATCACCGTACCGCTTTTCCTTAATGGAGGGGCTAAGATGGAAATGGGTTTTTCTCTCTGTTAATTTTTGTGCAACTTACAAGAACTTAATACTGTTGATTTCTTACTCAAATTTGGTTGAAAATGGTGAGGAATGTCTGAAGTTGTTAGTGTGCTGCTGAACAAAAAAACAGATGCATGGACAGCAAGGTCACACAAGCTTGATTTCCTTAGAAAACTGATCTAAACCCTCGTTTCTAATTATGTGAAGATAGATTTTATACATTGAGTGTCATTAATCAAAGAATTTCATGGAAAATATGTTATTAGGTTACATATATAAAATATATTGCAAATATATATTAACAATCTAACTTCTTTATTGTAGCCCAAACTTATTGTAACAGCAAGTTTTGGAGTAGAACCGAAAAGGAAAGTGGAATACATAGCCCTCCTAGAAGGAGCACTGGAAAGCGTACAGAGCAAACCTGATAAAGTTCTCATTTACCAGCGACCTAATTTGGTGGGTGTACAGTTGTTGTGCCTTTATGTTAACTTTCAGATGTGTGCCTTTTCTCATTTACAAGGAAAATTTTTGGTGTATCTGTTTGTAGTTTGTTTTTGAATTTTATGGGGGAACTTTATATTCATAAGGTTTAAATAGTGAATAGAACTAATGCAGCAGAGATATTACTGTACATAAAATTGAATAGTACTGTACAGAATATTGAATAGTACATGTTTTTTTACCCACTTCCATTTATTCCATCTGTTTTTCTTTCAACGCTTTTCTGTTTTCCAATGGGCAGGGCCATGTTCCTCTTGCCCCGGGTCGTGATCTTGACTGGGAAGAAGAGCTTGCAAAAGCACAGTGTTATAAATGTGTCTCCGTTCCCTCAGACCATCCACTTTATATTCTGTATACATCTGGAACAACAGGCTCGCCCAAGGTAAAGGACTATCTGTAGTCTAAGTGTCTGTGACCAACCTATTTGCAGTTCCACTTGAGAAAATATTTAATTAAAAAGGTTGAAAATGTTTGCCAGTGCTCAGCTATAAATGATGAGCATTGCTAGAAATGGTTTAATCTCATTTATTTACATTTCACTACTTTAAAGTCAGTGTCTAGGAATAAATCACGTTCGTTGGTTTAAATAGTAATAATATAAAGATAAACTGCATTTACTTCAAGATGTTTGTACAGTATAAACTTTTGAGGACAGCAGAATGTCTTTTATCCATTAGCGTCTTCTGTGTTTTAACTGTTTGATATAAGCGTAGTATAGTCACTTAATGACAGGATTAGTTAATATATCACTTGTGTGATAGCCTTTATTGCTGAATAGTCTTTGCTTATTCATTATTTACATATTAGCTAATCTTCCCATAGATAAGAGGTAATGAATGACATTGTAAATTAAATGGAATTAAGCATGTTCTGAAGGCTTGTGTTACTGAACAGTTTTGAGAACATAATTCCCATGAAAATGAAAGTTTAGACTGAGTAAATGAAAACTGACATAGAGCATTCTTTGAAAATGTTTGCTTTCAAATGTCAATTAGTCTTAATGATTTGTTTTTAAAAGATCTTATTTTAAAAGCAAACTCTTGAGTGTTTGCTTGGTACTTAAAATTCTCTTTTAAAGTATAGAAGACAAGCTGAGTATAATTTTCTGGCAATGGTCTTACTACCACAAATTGAGAGACAGTATCACACATCCCTGGATATGGCAGTGCTTAGACTACTGCTGGAAAATTATTTAATGATGTGGCCTATAAAGTTCAGAATCTATGGAGAGGTAAAGGAAAACAAACATCAGTTTTGCTGAGAAAAATGTCTTCTGCTTTTGCCTTGAATGTGGGCACTTTAAAGCAACATATGTAGCTTGAATCATTTAATTACATTGTCAAAAGGTCCAAGGTAAGATCTTCTGTACAACAGGTATTTTCCTTGACTGTTAGTTTCAAAATATAGTATCTCAGAGATAAAAGTTCTCAGAAGTTTACTTCATTGTGTTGGCTCTCCAGAGAAAAATATAGACACCTTGAATGAATCACCCTTATAAGAGGGAGAGTGTCAACTGGCACTAAGCTACAATGAGTAACTTAATGAATAAAATAACTTTTTTATTCATTTAAGGAACTTGCTTTTAAATGGTCATGCAAGTAAAATTACTCGGTTATGACCCTCATAACAAAAATTTTGTTAATCTCAGAGCCAGGGACTAAGTAAGAAGCTGAGACTAACAAAGGCAATCTGCTTTCTGAAAGTCATGAAGTGTTAGTTAACCATTCTCTGCTGTGGCAGTCTCCATTTTAACCAGTCAATATGTCTCTGCAGTCCCTCCTTTCTTGGACGAGGCCTGAAAGTGCCTATTTCATTCTATTAACTACATAAGGAGAAGGTACCGTGCCTAGCACACAGATAGCTGCATTGTAATGTCTGCACTGTAGACATTGGTTTGGTCAGATTAATCTCACCTGAATTTTAGTTCAGCACATCAGGACATAGTTTACTTAATTCTTTCTTCTAGAAACAGTGTACTAGAAGATGATGAAATGTATATTAAACATGCAAATATTACAAAATATTTCAAAATTTTTCTTACTAACATTGTTCCAGAGCTGGTTTTTGGCTTACCAAGGTGCACGATGCTATTGCTACTCTCTCATTCTAATTTTGGAATCCCTCTTTTAGAGTAAGACTGGGATGTTCTTCATTTTGCATTCATATGTATACTGCAGACTAGATATTAAACCTTTCAAAAATAGACATCTGGTTTAAGCCAGTTTTCTGACATCTTTAAAAAGAGTAAAAGTGCGGGAAGAGGGGTATATTTCAGGGAGTAATTCACCCCAGTTATTTTAGGCATTGCTACTCCACAGGTGCTCCTCTTTTCCCAGGATGATAGACTAGACAATGAGTTTGAAATATGCCTAGCATTTAGATGGCCACAGTTTAAGTGAGGTAAATACTCAATCTCTTATTTTTTGTCAGCATATGTTGACTAAATACTTGTATATCCGATTTTAATGAGTGAATTCTAGTCTTTGTTAGTTACCTTCTGAAAACTATTGTCATCTAGGGCTTGGGTTGGGGTTTTTTGTTTGTTTTATTGTATGTTTGTTTGTTTTCCAAAATTACTTCTTCAGAGGGAATGCTAGCACAAGCATGTACTTGTCGGAACGGATCCTGTTCTTAAGTCAGGAGTATTGGAATTAAACAACTTTAAGTCTATTACTGCTAAAACCCCCCAAAATATTGTTGAAGACAGGAATATCATTGCATCCTTCAAATGATCTTAAATAGTCAAATTTTCTCATTTAGGGTGTTATCAGACCAACAGGTGGCTATGCAGTTATGCTGAACTGGACAATGTCAGCTGTATATGGACTCAAACCTGGTGAGGTAATTCTGTTTAAATGTCATGTAAATTTTTTGAACTCCTCTTAAAAACTCCCCACTATATTTATGTTTTTATTTCATTTTAGGTGTGGTGGGCAGCTTCTGATTTAGGCTGGGTTGTTGGTCATTCCTACATTTGCTATGGACCTCTCCTTCATGGGAATACTACAGTTTTGTATGAGGTATGATCCATTCTAAAAAGCCAGCCTTTGAAAAAGCAGCGTCTCCTCCCATTGATGATCCTGATGATCTTGTTTATGCCTGTCCTTTCTTCATGCCATATATATTTAAATTGTGTGTGTATCTTCAGTGTTTATACTCTTCCGTTTATTACAGTAATTTGTAAGGAAAACTTACTTCACTATCCTTCAAACTTGTCTACTTGATCTGTGTGACTGGTGATAGTCAGTGGGGCAAGGAACTCCAGAACCACAGACCTAGAAGTGGCAGATGGTGGAGTGTATCTGTGCTGCTGAGGCTTCATCCACAGGCCATTAGACTACCTTTATTATGGATCTAGGAGAGGATGTTGTGTTTTGCCTGTCTGGAGATGACAAATTCTTACTGTATCTGAGTTGGAGGCAATTGGGAGCTCTATGTTTGAAGCCAGAACTCAAGGAGACTTGTCTCTTCTTTCCTCCTCCTACCACTCAAGGCACCTGAAGCCAAGACGCAGATGGCATTCAGGGCTTGGTCTTTCTCCTTGGGGTACGAAACTCAGTGGGGTGGAGAGGCGATTAGTCCAATTAGAGTGGCCTGCTGCATACTAACTTTGATGCTCAAAAAAGCAATCAGACTGCCTTATATTGTTATTTTGATTCTCTAATTGCTAGGCAAGAAGATACAGTGTTGCTTGAACCATCTTCCTTATTCTTCAGGAAGTGAATCCAGTATCCATCAGTGATAGTGAAAGACATTTTATGTAAAAGCACCGACATTGTTAGCTCTTAAGCATGCTGAGACTTGGTTGCCTGCATTCACCTGATGTTAGGAATTCTGGATGTATCCCAGCTTCTGCAACACTATGCAGACTGAAGCCCACCTAGTAGTTGTTCTGTCTTTTTCAGTGGTCCTAGAGGCAGAAGTTGTAGCTCTGCCATTGTGGCATGCTGATCACCTCTATTTGTAGTGGTAATTAGAAATGTGTGAACCATTAACGGAAGTCTAACGGTAACTTATGGCAGAGCATACAAGAACTACAAAAGTATAGTGAATGTACTGATACTGAGGGCATGAAAAAGCACATGAATCAAGCTTTGATGACACTGTGAATATAGCAGTTGTTAGAGCACCCGGTGTTTGTGGAGCAGGGGAGTCAGCATGACATGGTGGAAACATACTGCTTTACAGACCATAAGTGCGGAAGTTCTGCATAAGGAAATGTGTATTATGATTAAACTTTCTTCATCTTCCTGCTAATACACCATACAAGTGAAGATGACTATACTAGAACAGAAATGGATTGTTACTGTTTTCAGGAAAAAGCATTATCAGAACAATCCTTTGGTGTTTGCACAACCAGTTAAGTTGGTATTGGTTGAGATGTGCTTCACTGTTATGAACTTATACACTGCTGTTGGTGGGTAGCTGGTACTGGCATTGTGCCTGAATTTTGAGTAAATATGTTTCTGAATCCTGTGGATACTGAAGAAGCATGAACAATTGTAGTAAGGTGAGGTTGCCTCTAAAATTGTTTGGATGCTGCTGCATTAAACACTACAGAACTGACTAGTGCTTCCTGCATCCTGTTTTGGAAGTTAGCAGTATGCTTTAGTGCTCAAAGTTCACTCTATAAACTTATAAGTGAGATTCTCACAAGCAGAAGACACCTCTTGAAGCAGGTCAAGAATCCTCAAATCCAGAAAGACAATGGTGATTTGGGGTACGTCTGCATGATATTTCAAATCACAGCAGTAGTGCAGTTCTGAAATAAGTCCTTTGATTATCCTTGCTTACTGATTTGGTTCACAGAGTGGTTTTAGACACATGAATGACATCTTTACATAGAAAGCTGAGACAGAAGCTTTGCCACTTGAAATAAAAGGGTAGGATCCAATGAGTGGGACTGCACTGCTGTGAGGTTCTCCAGAGCAAATGAAAAGTACACATGTCAACAGAAAGCTTTAAAACTTTCAAGAGCTCCCACCTTATCCTGACATACTTCTTGTGCTACGCAAAAGGGCCAAATGCTATATGTGACTTCATGTTTTGTAATGCCCACCAGATGTCTGCTTGTTCTGACTTTCAGCTGCTCCTTTATTTCTTCCAGGCTTTGGCTTCTGTCTTCTTCACCAGCCCTATTTCTTTTGCTATTCCTCGATTATGAACATCTTTCTTATAACATGATTAAAACTATTCCTCCTTTCCTACTGCTACATTTTGCCATAGTGACACCTGTTGCTTTGGCCTCTCAGAATATTGAGCTAGGGGCAACCTGGAACTTGACAGCATATGCTCTGAAAGGCCCAAAAGTTTCTCCAGCAGATGCACCACCCTGTTGCTCATGTCAAGCCTGCTGCCAAGTGGGAGAGCACTGACAAGTGGTGCTGCATTCATTTCAAATAGACGAAGACCATCTTCTTGAAGAGGTGGCAAAACCATACTTCAGAGGTGCCACGGTGCATGCGCCCCTACCACAGAGATCTTGAACAGATCTTCAGGGGAGGGGAGAGCACTCCGCCAAGCCCACTGCTCATGAGGACATCCACTCCCTTGGTCCCAGGACCAACAGTCTGGGAGAAAAGTCCAGGGAAAAGCGTGCCTACACTGCTGCACGTCTACGTGCCTGCAATTTCCAGAGGACCCTGGCAAAACAACGTGCAGGAGCATCCCCTTGGCCCACTCTCTGCCACAGTAGGCAATGGGAACTGTAAACGGGTAGTCCAGATGCCCGCCTGAGTAAATGTGCATACTCCTTTCCTGTACATGTATTGAGGGTGGGACTGTGTTTAGGAGGTTGCTGGTAGAATTAGGGCACTTCCACAGAGCTGTGGAAAGGTGGAGTAAGTCTCTGGATTGACTGTGAGAGCTGCTACACCTTGAGAGATGGTTCCCTGGGTGCCGTGAGCTGTGAGGGAAGCTCCGTGGAGCAACAAGCTCCATCAGAGACCACTTGCCCTGTCCCAGCTCTGCCTGCGTGCCAGGCACAGTCCTGGCAACTGCATAAGCTGTGGACATGGCATGTCTTGATAACACAGCCCCCCTAGGCTTCTGCACAACATCCCAGGTGCACTGTATCAAATGCAGTGTATGAAGGACCTACTCAGTGGTGGTAGCGGTGCTAGTACTTCTGGCCACGAGTCAGATCCTGTCCCTGCCCTGCAGTCAGCTGCTTGTACAACAAATACCATTCAGGATGATTCCAGTTCTTTGAAATGCAGTGGTTAAGGTAGTGGTTATTGGCAATATATGATCTCTTCCTCTGCCCCAAGTCACACTTGGGAAAGGTTGTAAAAGGAAGGGCACTGCGGGCTGCAGTAAGGCATAGTTGGATTAATCAGGTTTACCCAAAACAAATTGATTAAATGCAGCAAGGGAGTGTGTGAAGCACACAGGTGTGGTGGAGGGGAAAACCAAGGACAAAGAGAAGTATTGGGAATCAGTTCCTTTTTAATCATTGCATAACATTTGCCAGATTGAAAGACATTGATGTGCAGTGGTTTTCCTCCCACTCCACTCCATGCACTCGTGAATGCTCAGTGGGCTGGTGACTGTCTTCAGTGAAGGAGCAGGCAAAGTCGTGACACAAATGCATTGCTGGATGCCCCACCTGTGACAAAGAGAGCAGAGAACTGAGCATACACGTACTGTCGAAGCTGTACTCGGTGTTTCAGTCTGAAGGAAGGTCTCAAAGATGTCTTCACAGATGGTTCAGACTGAAAGTGATACCCTGAATTTGGAAGGTATTGGAAACATTTGCACAGTGTCTATCCCACATTGCCCAGTGTCTTTCACATCATAGAATCATAGAATCATTAAGGTTGGAAAAGACCCTTAAGATCATCGAGTCCAACTGTTAACCTATCACTGCCAAGTCCATCACTAAACCATGTCCTCAAGCACCATGTCTACCCGTCTTTTAGATACCTCCAGGGATGGAGACTCAACCACTTCCGTGGGCAGCCTGTTCCAATGCCTGACTAACCTTTTGGTGAAGAAGGTTTTCCTAATATCCAACCTAAACTTCTCCTGGCACAGCTTGAGGCTGTTTCCTCTCGTCCTGTCCCTTGTTACTAGGTGACCAAATGTAGATTGTGGTTCCGTTATGTATTCAGTAAAAGCACAATTAAATGAGGTCTGTGCTGCATCACTGTCAGAGTGTGCTTTATGGTGTGGGGCGCACAGGTGTGCAGCATCTCTCATGGTGCTCATTGGCATTTGACGACATCATGAATGATCCTATCCCTTCTTGGCAATAAGGCACTGGCATATGTTTTGGTTCTGTGACCAGGGATGTGGAATATAGGGCTTATAGAAATTTTATGGTGGAGCCTACTGCTGATGTGTGAACTGACGTGCTACTGTCATCTGCATGAAACAGATGAAAGGGACAGCATGACACGTCCTAGAAGAGAAGTCCATTCAGTCAAGGGAGCAAAGATATGTAGGATAGCTTTCCGTCAGAAAACTTTGAGCTTCATTTTTCGTTCAGTGAGCAAGGCTAAGTCTAGTCTAAAAAAACCCTCGAATAACGTCTAATGGAAGAAGTAAAGAGCCATGGCATTAAATGGTTTGATCTACTAATCTGCTCTAATTCACCTCACTACTTGCTATGTAAACAAAGTCTGTGACACCATATGTGCTTGCATTCATGTTTCATGTTATTATTTCACATGGTACTAAGTTTATTTTTACCAGTGCATGTAGTAGGAAGAAGATTCATAATCTCTCATAGAACAGCAGACTGTGCCTAGGTGACCCCTGTGTATGTTGTTTTGTACAAAATCCTGTTGTTTATCATTTTTGTAACAAAAAAATGTAAAACAAGAAACAAAATGCAATGTTTAAAAGCAAAGCAAATCTTGAGGTCTTAAAAATGTGTTTTGGAATGTGTTCTTGTCTTTGTGGTTAACTTTTAACTTTGTGGTTAACTTTTAAAAGTGTTAACTTTTTCTTCTGTTCATGGAAAGACTGTGGGTAGTGTGTTAAGCTGTTCTATGAAATAGAAAAGGAGCTTTTGTTG